TGTAAAGAATGGGGTTCTGCTTCTGGTCGGCAATCGGCACTCCTCCAAGCGTTATTCGAGCTCCACTGATGATGAAGATCGATCTAAATCGCTTGGGAACTCTAGTTCGTCGCTTTCTCTCTCTAGGTATCACTTTCTTTCTCTAAAACTCGGAACCCCTTCACAATTGGCCTTCTTTCCCTTAAAATCCAGCAGGCCGCGATCCTCGGTCATAATCCCCGGTCGGGTATTTCAGGTGCCCAGCCGGGGATTTCAAAACGCAGCGCACAGGACAGGGGCTAATACCCGATCGAGGTCAAGAATACCCGATCGGGTATTTTTGCTCAACGCTCGGGCCCCCTTCTGGACTCTCGGTGCCCAAAATCGATTTTCCCCGACCTCCTCAGATTTCTACCCGACCAGGTATTTTTGCTCATGGCCGGTTATTTTGCTCCTCTAGCACCCTTCAACTCAAATGTCCTCCTTTTGACCCGAAACTCGTTTCTTCGCCTCAATGTCAACGCCAAGCACTGAAATATGACATAACCACACAGTAATACGATTGATATGACACTAATATGATTGATGTTATCACTATATCATGAGGTAAATTGCAAGTTTGGTCACTGGAATTACTTAAAGAGTTTACGTTTACCACTAAAATTAATTTATTTCATCTGTGGTCACTAAAATTAGTTTAACAGTTCAAGTTTGGTAACTCTCCATTAGTCTCCGTTAACTTTCGTTGATGTGGCAGTCAACTTTTATCGTTGCCTGTTAAATGTGTGACGTGGCCATTAAAAAATAATATAATAATACATTGTAATTATTTAAAATTTCCATCTCATTTTTACATTCAAAAGTAAAAAATATATTTAATTTAATTTTTTTCTTCTGCACGTAGTCCGATTTCTTTTTGGAGAATTACTCTGGCTTCAGAAGTTTTTTCCGGGGAACTTCCGTCGACATTCCGGGTGGGGGACCCCAATTCCAAGGGGAGGCGGCCCAACGTGTCCACTATTTAGAGAGTCTGAAGCCTGCCCTTAAGAAGCAGTTGAGTATGCTGATGTGGAACAACAAAGAGGAAATTTATCAGGCGGCTCTCCGGATAGAGAGGGCCGAGGCAACCTCACACGAGGAAGCGGTGCAGTGAGAGAATAGCAAGAGGAAGGCAAGTAGCATGCCTGAGGGAGCTGGCCAGTCGAGTCGGTTTAGGAGGAGGCCGAGTGGTACCTTTAATTTTGGGAGTACTCAAAGTCAAAGCGGCTCGGTTCGGCCTGGTCAAACCTTCAGTATCAGGTTTCCCTGCAATCAGTGCGGGAGGGACCACTCTGGGGTATGCAAGTAGCAATTAGAGGTCTGCTACTACTGCAACGAGCCAGGTCATTTTGCCCGAGAGTGTCCCAGGAGAGGCGGGCAAGGGAAAGCACAATCAGAGCAGTCGGTCAGAGGCGGAGGAGGAAGGACTTACACAGGACCTCAGTTTGGTGGTCAACAAAGCCGCTCTTGATTGTTGACTCGATCATCCGCGATTGTCCCGTTACAGTAGTCGGACATGAGCTCGAGGCCAATTTGGTTCTACTGCCCTTTGGTGAGTTTGATGTTATCTTGGGCATGGATTGGTTGTCTAAGAACCGGGCAAAGGTGGATTGCTATAAGAAGGAAGTTAGCTTTGAAATTGAGGGCAAGGGTACTGCTTTATTCAAGGGGATGGAGAAGGTGATCCCTGGAAGCCTGATTTCTGCAGTAAAAGCCTTCACCTTAATCCAGGAGGAATGTGATGCCTACCTGTGTCATGTCATGGTGATACAAGAGAAGAAGTTGGAGGATGTCCCTGTTGTAAAGGAGTATCCTGAGGTATTTCTGGAGGATCTGCCTGGGTTGCCGCCACATAGGGAGGTGGAGTTTGACATCGAAGTGATCCCGGACACGACATCTATATCTATTCCCCCTTACCGGATAGCACCAGTGGAGTTGAAGGAGTTGAAGGAACAGTTGCAAGAACTGCTAGACAAGGGCTTCATACGTCCTAGTGTATTGCCATGGGGAGCACCCGTGTTGTTTGTAAAGAAGAAGGATGGCATAATGCGATTGTGCATCGACTACCGGAAACTGAATAAGGCCACCATCAAGAACCGCTATCCTCTACCAAGGATAGGCGACCACTTCGATCAGCTTCAGGGAGCAAAGGTGTTCTCAAAGATCGATTTGAGATCTGGCTACCATTAGCTGAGGGTGGCAGACGGTTTCGTTCCTAAGACTGCCTTCCGTATTCGGTATGGTCACTATGAGTTTTTGGTTGTGCTGTTTGGGCTGACCAATGCTCCAGCAGCCTTCATGGCCTTAATGAACCGAGTCCTCCATGAGTATTTGGACAAGTTTGTCATTGTTTTCATCGATGACATCCTAATCTACTCTAGGAGTCAGGAGGAGCATGGGCAGCATTTGAGGTTGGTCCTCCAGAGGTTGAAAGAGGAGAAACTGTATGCCAAATTCTCCAAGTGTGAGTTTTGGCAAGAAGAAGTCTTCTTTTTGGAGCATGTCGTTTCAGGGCGAGGAGTGGAGGTGGATCCCAAGAAGATAGAAGCTGTGACTAATTGAGCGCCACCCAATAACGTCCTAGAAGTGCGGAGTTTCTTGGGATTGGCTGGTTTTATCGGCGATTCGTGGAAGGTTTCTCCAGTATTGCAAGACCCATGACACAACTATTACAGAAAGGGAAGGCATTTTTTTGGGACGAGAAGTGTCACGCGGCGTTCGAGTTGCTGAAGGAAAAGCTAACCTCTGCACCAGTGTTAGCACTACCAACCACCGGTGGGGAGTATTCAATCTATAGTGATGCTTCCTATCAAGGCTTGGGTTGTGTACTGATGCAGAACAAGAAGGCGATCGCCTATGCTTCGAGACAGCTACCACCTCATGAGGTGAACTACCCCACTCATGACTTGGAGTTGGCAACAGTGGTTTTTGCTTTGAAGTGATGGAGGCATTATCTCTACGGAGAGACTTTAACCATCTTCACTGATCATAAGAGTCTCCAGCACTTGACCGACCAGAAGGAGCTAAATATGAGGCAGAGGAGGTGGATGGAGCTCCTCACTGACTATGATTGCACTGTTAAGTATCACCCCGGGAAGGCTAATGTGGTGGCCGATGCTCTAAGCCGGAAGAAGGAGAGTCCCCTACCCGAGTTGGTCTCTTTGAGGGCCATGAACGTGGAATTGGAGCTGGAGGAGGCAACAAAGTTGTTAGCAACCCTAAGGATTCGTCCCATGCTACAGGAACGAATCAAAGAGAAGCAGGGTGGTGATGTGGAGTTTGAAAAGTACCGGAAGCAGGTACTGGAGGGAAAGAACACTAAGTTTGAGCTGGTGGGTGGAGTGTTGATGTTTCGAGGAAGGCTTTGCGTACCTGATGTCGACAAGTTGAGGGAGCACTTACTGGATGAGGCTCATTCTGCTCCCTATACGATGCATCCCGTGGCAACCAAGATGTATCGCACCCTCAAAGAGCATTACTGGTGGCCCAAAATTACCTCTCCCCCCTATAGATTTTATTTTTGTTAGAAATTAATTTGACCCACTAAATTACATTAAAATGACCGGATAGAGATTGAGTTTTGCAAGATTTTACGATTCCCATATTTAGGGCTGGTAAACGGTTATCCCTTTAACGGTGTAACCTATAACCGAACCAGAACCGGTGCTTAATGGTTACACAGATAACCGATTAAATAATAAACGATCGATTCTCGGTAGCCAAATTTAGCTTATAACTAACCAATGATTAAACGGTTAATATTTGACGGTTAACCGGTTAACCAACTAACCGATTACGACCATTCTCATAGTTAGAGCCGAAAATAATAGACCTCCATGAGCTACAAACATAGGCACAAATGAGACAAAGTTAAAGGAAGAGTTTTAGAAGGAACATAGTAGGAAGTCAAACTTGCGCACAGTTGCTCAAAAATAATCAGTAACATTAAGCTTCCATGTAATTTGATGTGGTTTACGAGTTGAGTAATTGTTGTTGAGTATCGTTGTATGTTTCTTTAATAAAGTTTAATAGTAGAATGATATTATTGTGTACTTGTGTTGATTAGGTATTAATATATATCTGTGTTAAATTATTTTTTATTCAATGAAAATGCATATGTATGAAATATTATATAAATTTTCACAATTGAAAGAAGTAGGTCTTGTGTTGGTTAGGTTAGCGATAATTTATTTTGGTATAACCTTGTCGAATCACTTGGTTAACAATTATTCGGTTAACCAACAAAATAACCAAGAACCGACTACACGGTTACGATTAACCGACTAATTTAAACGACACGGTTAACGTAAGCACAAAGTGCTTAACGATTAATCGAAAACCGAGTAAACGATTACGATTATAACCGAACCGATTATCACCCCTAGCAATCCATATTATTATCATCAATTAATACTACCTTCCCCAACACATATACTTTAACGTCCTCATTACTACTCATTACTCCTACTCAGCTATTTTCCACGTACTATCCCTATCAGTATGTAGTTCCTCTATCAGTACTAACTACTGATCAAGCGGCACCTATTGACAAATTGAGTGGCCAAATGAGCATTTAAGACAATTATTTTTTTATATATATAAGGCATCCCTATGAGCTATTTTGGTATAAAGTTAACCCTAAGTATATGTTCTTCCCAAACTAGCTAGGAAACGAGGCCCTCATTTCGAAAGTGTGTTTGAGCTATAACAATAGAGCCCATTCAAAGGCAAAAAATCGAACTACAATAACCAGTCATTGGACATGCCTGAAAGTCCAACGACATCATATCATATCATTAATGCCACCTCCCTTGTATTGGTGAGGTTGGTCTTGGACTTTTGGGTACGTATTTGCTTTGCTTGAATACCACTTCTTTTTTCGTGCATGTACAACCTCCCTTGTAATTACCACACTCACTCGCTCGTGGTAGCTCTTTCCCCCATATATGTACACATAAACGCACCACAGGCTTCCCCGGCCACTTTCCCATTTAAAATGTTTCTGAACTCAGCAGCCTCTTTTGTCACACAAAACGCCTTTGTCAGATTTCCCCACGGCAAATGGCCGCCTCCACAGTCATCATTGTCTTCTTCTTCTTCATCGTGTCAATGGAGCAGCACTGTTAACCATGGAGGAAAGGGGAGCCCAAGCAAGGGCAGCAGCAGCGTAATTAATCGACAGCATAATAAAAATCATAAAGTAATTAGAGCGGTGATCAACATTAATACGGCTGAGAATAACGCGGTTCCGGACAACCAGCTGATTTTAGCATTTGATGAGCAGAAGCAAAAGCAGCAAGGTCTTGGAATTGACAAGTTCCTGAGTGGGAAGACTTGGTTCATCACCGGTGCAACTGGGTTTGTTGGTAAAGGTAAACCTTTTCATATCAAGTCGCCGGTTCCAATTTTACATCTGATCGATCAGCTTAATTTCACGTTCACGCTAACTAACTAGTGTATTTTAAATTTGCAGTTCTGGTGGAGAAGATACTGAGGTCCATCCCCGACACAAGGAAGATATACCTGATGATAAAGGCTAAAGACACTCAAGCCGCCCTGCGTCGCCTGAAAACTGAGGTCATTGCATATATGTTAAATATATATGTATACCATATAACCCTAGCTACTAATTAATTAATTAAATAATGGGCGTATCATTAATTACTAGCATTTCTTTGTCGCCGATGTGCAGATAATAGAAGCAGAGGTGTTCAGCGTGCTGAAGGAAGAATATGGGGAGTCCTACGAGAGTTTCATGCTCGCGAAGTTGGTCCCCGTGCCTGGAAATTTGGCCGAAGCTCCTGAACTTGGAATCCATCCGGACACTGCTGATTTGGTCGCCGGAGAAGTGGATCTCATCGTCAACTCCGCCGCCAACACAACTTTCGACGAAAGGTCTCTCTGCCTGATTCTTCTTTTTGTATTAATTAACGTGCATGTCAATTCTTGATTAATTAACAAGTTAAAACTAGTGCATAAGTATATGCATGAGAAATTTTACAATGCTATATAGTATTGGTGCTATAGGTTTTTGCTTTTATGGTACAACTTAAAATTGTACATTTACGTTATGGTACAACTTTAGATTGTACCTATACTTTTGTACAAATTCTTTTATGGTACAACTTGAACTTGTACCTTTATGTGATGGTACAACTTCAAGTTGTAAAGTTGTACCATAACATAATGGTACAAATTGTTTTATGGTACAACCTAAACTTATACATTTAATGTTATGGTACAACTTTGAGTTGTACATTAAAGTACCAATGCTATATAGCATAGTAGAAGTGCTCCGTGTATATGCATATACATTGTAATGAATTTTGTGGGTGCAGGTATGATGTTGCAATTAATACCAACACCAGAGGAGCAACCAACCTTATGAGATTTGCCGACAAGTGCCATAACCTCAAGCTCTTCATGCACATCTCCACAAGTATATACGTTTACATTCTCTACTTTCATTTCTTACATGGGGTTTTAATGAATTAATTATCTGGAAGTTGGGGTGCAGATTAATTAATATATGGCTTGTTTTGGATGAGATATTATAATAAAATATTTGAGAAAAAAAATGTCGCTAAACGTACGCTATATTATGTGCAATTGTCTTAGATGGATGATTTGTTTGGGATATATAGAGAGAGAGACTAGTTTACTTTACTGGATGGTTTGCTTGTTGGTTCCAGATCTGTGGATCCGATAGGAAAAACCAACACGAATAGTTGAAATTCGAAAATAGTTGAAAATATTCAACGATTAACAGTTATAGAATTGTTAGTTAACTGTTGACAGTACTGTTCATTGTTACAACATAAAAGACATATAATACATTAATTTAGAAGTGAAAATAATACTAATCATATATAAATTTAAATCCATATAATCTATCACCAAAAAAGTTATAACAAAGTATTCAAATTATCTGATGAAAACAATAAAAAAAATTTATATTAAATTCAAGTTAGTAATCAAGGTGACAATCCGTAGAGGACCAGATAAAGTGACAAGGAGGCTGAAAATTGAAGAAAATTAAGCATAAATAAAATCAATGGTTGAGATTCGATAATATTAGTTTATGTTAAAGTATTTTATTTCTTAATTTTTTGGGTTAAAAACTGAGGTGGTTCATTCTATTTTCATATCAAATCGTGAAAAAACTGTTGGATCCATCTATAACCGTGTAATCAAATGAACCAACCACTATTATAATTGGGTGTCGTTCTACTGGACCAACCGTTAATCCGGTTCGATTATTATAACAATGCTACTATATCTCTAATTATTTTCATTATTCTAAATTCTAGTATACTTCGTTTTTAAACACATCTATATATCCAACTTCAAGAAAATTCATCATGAAACTTAACCACCAAACAAAAATGTTTTCAAATTCCTAATGACCCAAATCCACAACCAAGCCTTCTTTTTCAAATCATATGCAAAAATTTATTTGTAAAATCTAAAAGGAAGCAAATCTACCATGTCCAATTTTTGAGTCATTTTCAAATGTTTACAGTGCGTACAAGCATTTGAAACTAGCTTGTGTTATTTTGGAAAGTGAGAAACATTAATGGCGATGCAATACAGTACATTAAATGGCAGAAAAAGAAAATTAAAAAACAGAGGAAAAGGTTTGGTGGCCTCTAAAGAGATAACACCTAATTTATGTATTTTTTGTATTTATTTCAATTTGTGCTTATTCATGCTATATTGGTGTTTATTGACGTAATAGTAGTCATTATTCACGCAAACGGTAATAATCATGGTCTAGCTTCACTAACTGTAAACGGTATTTACAACTTTCTAAATCTCAGAACCAGATCTACTTTCTCGTCAGAATTACGTCTTTTTCTCTCGATATCACGCAATCCGGTGTTATTCATGCATATTGTTATTTATTCGCGTCGTTGTAAAAAAAATTAATTTTAAAATATATTAAAATGAATATCATTGCATGCGTAAATTGTGGTCAATACAACTCATTTCCACAAAAAATTGAAAATCCAAATTTAATTCCACAAAATATGACCAATACAAAATATTATGGGAAACAAATTTAAAATTCTATTTGAATGAGTTATCATAACTCTTACATAAATAATGAAAAAATTACACGTGAATGAATACAAAAACACGTGAAATTAAGTGTTGTGACTCTTTATAAGGTGGCACAAACCTTTAAAAAAAAAACAAGTGGGGTTAACAATAGACACATGACGCGCAGTTTGTAGGAAGAACTGATCTGCCATTGCCTAGGCCCTTTTCAGTCAATTACATTACATGTGCACGTTCTGGTGGTCGTGCTCTGTCTGTCTGTCTGTCTATTTGAACGAACGGTAAGGCGAATTCACAACAATAATAAGAATATATTGGTTGCGTTTGTTGGATCAATATCAGTATACGCGAACGGTGGGAGAAGCGGCAGAGTAATGGAGAAGGCATTCAGCGAGGAAGACGTTACTACCACAGCAGCAGCACTGGACGTCGCAGCAGAAATTCAACTGGCTTTAACTCACTCTGCTGCTACACCAGCTGCCGACCACCTCAGAAGACTGGGCCTTGAAAGGTACGTACCACATCATTCATGAATTCACGTACATCTATTACGTTCAATCCTTTTCTCCTTTTGTTTAGTAATTGTACTTGCCACACTCTGTACAAGAGTAGTTATGGCGAAAGTGACAATTGTGACATGTTGGCATTATGGCATACGTACTTTATGTTCGGGCATGCCATTATATCGTCTGCTGCTACGTGCATGAGATCGATTATCGGGATAACATATAATTACTCTTCTTGTACTTTGTTCATCATCAGGGCCAGAAAATTTGGGTGGCACGATACTTACACCTTCACAAAAGCCATGGGAGAGATGATGTTGGGGGATTACAGAAAAGACATGTCGTCGGCGATATTGACAAACTCCAACAAAGTGCCCATTGTTGTACTCCGACCGAGTATCATTGAAGGCAGTTATGCGCATCCATTTCCCGGCTGGATTGAAGGAAACAGGTTCGTATCTATCAAGACTATTATTATGATATAATAATTGTTATTTGCTTCCTTTTTTCAATAGTTATTTGTTTTTTTTTTTTTTATTTCTCGTTGAATTTTTGTTTTGTTTGCTTTTTCATGGATCTTCATTACCTAATTTTTAAGTGGTAATAGCATTTTATATTCTAATGGTATTCTTCAAACAAACATATTCCACACAACCATAGTCATATATTATTAATACGTGACCGAACATACCCTTTCGCCCAAATTTTACTTAGTTGAATTACAAATTACCCCTCTGTTATGTCAGATTTGTTCTTGCCTTTTTAAGAAATTAAAAAACTAAATACTGAATTAACTTAGTTTATATTACTTAATTTTTTACATTTTATGTGTCTATCCCTTTTAGTTATTTTGTTTATGTTTCTTTAATTATAATGAAAAAAATTATTTAATAATTGAGGGAAATTTAATCATTTCTCATCCTCTAACAATTAATTAACGGAATTTATAATAAAGATATATTTGTTAACTTACAATAGTACAACTAGGAATAAGTAATGGATGAGTCACCACTATATTAAACCACCCAGCTGCATTCACCTAGATCTAGTTATAACTTATAACCCACCAAATACTTGTTTGGGAGCATATGGTTATTGGAGAGAGAGGGTAAATCATTCTTTTCTTTTGTGACCCATAAAATTTGCATAGGTGGCAGTGGGTCATTTGAAAAACCACTGTATTGACCTGTGATTAATGGTCTTTATCAGCCCACCTTTTTTTATAACCGTACCAAGTGATATATATTAACCATCATATGGGAAAACCGTGGCCAATAATTATTATTAATCACCGTATCTTGATTATTAACCGCCATTTTTATCCTAGTTAAAAATGCGTTTTCATTTAGTGTCGAAGCTCTTGGATTTATATTTAATAGCTTGTTGCGAACGTTTATGATCCATAAACATCTTGTCATTTGAAACAAGTCTTAACCCACCAAAATCGTCAAACCCACCCACTCTCCGACATCGCCCACCCAATCCACGAGTACAAATGAATGGTCTGGATCATTTTCATCACCCACAAAAATCTTGGGTGGGTGGACTTTAATCTTAAAACTGCACAACCCACTCATTGTCATCCCTAGTTACAGCATATAAAATGCTATTAACCAAAATTCAAATGATAATCACACATTTTATCTTAGTTCATGATTTACGTTTTTTTTTGTTGTCGGGTAATTGTAGGATGTTAGATCCCATTTCTCAGAATTACTGTAAAGGCCGAATGACAAGTTTTCCCGGACATCCTGATTCCATCGTTGATGTGGTAAGTTCATTGATTTGTCTAGTCTCATCATCAATTATTGACAACCTAACTAGTGAGTTACTTACGTCTGTTTATTAACTAGTGAAGCAATATTGGGCATGCGTGCTTGCAGGTCCCCGTCGACATGGTAGTAAATGCAGTATTGGCAGCAGTAACTCGTCATGGCGCCGCGGCGGTAACCAACAGCAGTAACAACATGGTGAACGTATACCAAATAGGTTCGTCGGTCTCCAATCCAATGACCCTGAGTGAGCTCTTCACACTGTACTACCTTCACTTTGATTCTTCCCCGATTATGATCAACGGCAAACCCATTCGCCTCAGTAGCCCGCTCGATATTTGTAACTCCATTGATGAATTCTCCTCCGCCCTCCACCCGCCGGACATCCCCGCCGGCTCCCGCCTCGGCCGGAGATTGCGCCAGGATGCAATCCGTATGGCTACTTTCTACCTGCCCTACTTGTCCTTTATGGGAAGGTGAGTTTATGAATTAGGTGGTCCTTTGCTTTATGAATCATAGGTCGGTACGTGAGTTTAAACTTCTTATCTGTTTGTTTTATATCATGTGATTAAAACTAGGTACGACTGTAGCAACACAGAGAAGCTTATGGAAGAGATGTCGGAGGAGGAAAGGGCAGAGTTTGGGTTTGATGTGAAAAAAATCGATTGGAGACATTACATTGCTCAGGTGCACCTCCCTGGCTTAAGGAAGCATGTCATGAAGGAGAGACTACCGGCAAAAGCACATGTTTGATTATACATTCATAAGCTGATCTTCCCGACAGGAAGAAGAGAGTGTTCGGTCTTGGTGTATTTGGGACCACAACCTCAACTCCCATACATACAAGTTTTACTATGGGCGGACATGTATGTGATTTTCACCCATTGAATTCACATTGGATTTGTTTAGTCATGGACTTCATGAATTGATCACTTGTGTTGTGAATATAGGCAACCCATTTAAATTAGGAAATGAAACTCCTAACAATTTCCCACTTAGGCTGTCTAATTTTCACAAACACTTATATTATGAAATTCTTTAGGCACGCAACTGTATGTTGTTTGTACAACGACTACTCCTTAACATTCTGGACCACCTCATATATCAATTATGAAACAACTACGACTTTAATCATGATATGGCAATGATTAAACCACCATGATCACTACACCAATACACCCAATGACATAGATCAAATATGGATGAGTGGCGTGAAAATTACATGCAATATGATCTTTTAACAACTTTAATCCTTAGTGAGATCAACCCAAATTCCTTCTTATTATGATGGACCAATGTATAACTGAAAGCATTTCAATTCCAAAATACTCTAGAAAACCTTCACTTTATTATGCAGAAATTGATTTAGTCATAATCTATGAAACATCCAAAAATGACTCTCACTAAACCAAAGTATGATCCGGAATAACACTCATGCTAGCTATATGCTCTTGCAAAACTATAAGTGTCAAACCTTTGGCTAACGGGTAAGTTAGCAGAAGTCAGGTTCTTAATGTTCGAAATAAAGTTGTCTATTTTGAACCTTCTCTTTAACCTTCAGGAACTTAATGTCAATAACCTTTGACTTCGGAACTCCTATTGTAAAGATAGTGTACCACTATAAAAACATTGTCGCGGTTAACCTTTAATGACTCTTCAATGTCCCACGAGTGACAAAATATCAAGAAATAACATAAATAGAAGCATCATACCAAACAATGAACTTAACCCAACACGAAAAGGTATTATGATGTAGAGTTCATTTAGCAAGGTTTAGAATATATGTGCCTTAAGGGCGAAAGGAGAGGAACACTATAACCGGTATCCAAGGATCATGTCAAACCCGCGAATTGTTCTGCCATCATCAACTCGCTTGGCATCCTGCGACATCAAAGTCAAACTACTTGATGATCTCCAGGTTATATGATCTCTAATAAGTTTATATGTATTCTTTTATCATCTTTAGTAAACGCATTACACGTTTGATTCTTTCTAGTGTTTCATGCACACATTACTCAAATATCTGCCGAATACTCTAACTATAAATTCAATATTGGGATGAGAATGAACTAAAGAAATATTAGATTCACTAATGCTAAATGAGTAAAGGAAATTTTGACCCTTTTTTACCATAATCAAGATATTATTTAGGACTATAATGTCAAATTTAGGCTTTAGCTACATCTCATATCCCTGTTTACAAACTATCCACTTAAACCTAATCTACATAGTTCTTTTGAAATTGAGTATATATTGAGAATAATATTTTCATACTGCAATATACAATAGGAAAATATATTTGTTAGAAATTTCTCAGTTTTGTGTAATATACTATATCACTTCAAGTAAGTAGAATGGCATGGACATGGAAAACCAACAAACTAAATTTACTCCCCTAAACTTAAGTACACACAATCATTTTCCAACATTAGTCTCTAATTAAATATTAAATTTGTGATATTAACAATGAGAAGCCTATGTGGTTCACATATGCATTCATTCAATTTAGAAAGCCTAAAGTTATTTCGTCAATATGAGCAACAATTGTCATTATATCTAAAAGTATTTTTTGAATATGCTAGAGATAAAATCTATTTGTAGCCAATGTCTTCTTTATAAGTAAAGTCTCTATAAACCAACATTTCTTATTTCTCACAATGTTCTCATCGAATAAGTTTGAGTCTTCATGCAATTTAGCAAGATCCTTAACATTGTCTTTCGTAGATTTCATAATGTGACATCAATGCACTATTCAGTATTAGAACTATGCATGAATTGACTAAAATAGAATTTTTCATTAGTCAACCTGATGTCATGCTTATGTTATTTGACGTGACACGATATTGTTAACTACAATCTCACATCTTCTCCTGTGTGAATATCCTTAATGAAATTTCTTGAATGTGTTGAGTTTGTGTAGTCCTTCCTCCCAAAACTCAACATACTGAATAAAATCTCACATTTCTCATTTAAAAATTTGTTTCTTGATGTGAGATTATAATTTTTATCCCAATATTAATCAATATAGTGCTACTTTAAAGCCCATTCATCCCAACACACATCATTATTGTTTTTATCCAAAACAAAAGAAAAAAATGAACAATCATAAGAAGACCAAAACTGATTTCTCTCACTCACTAATCACTCTAACCATTTTTCTTCATCCCTAACCCCCGGAGGAAGCAGCCACAGGAGGGCGCTCATCATCGCCATGTGGAATGCTCCGGTAGAGCTTGATTCTCACTGATGCTTCTTCACCATTCTCCAAACTCTTCCTCTTTCTTTGGTTTCTTCTCCACTGAATTAAATGATGGCTAGTGAGAGAACCTTAGCTTGGTTTTTTTGGTATAGTGAAAATTTTGACTAGTGTACATGGAACCGAAGATCATTGATGAAGACATCCAAATCTTGATGGAGTTAGAGGACGAAGGTATTGCAAGGTGGAAACAATATTTAGTAAGGAGATTCCTTACCTCATCTCCCCAAATTTGTCAAATTCAATCTTGGGGGAATATATTATGGATTCAGGCAGGCAAGATTAGGATTTCGTGGTTGGGTAAGAACCTCCTGCTTTTCCTATTTTTTGTTGTTGAAAGAACTCCTGCTTTTCCTATTTTTCACTATTGAAGCTATAAAGTAGGCGTTCGCGAGCGACCCTTAGCATATGGACAATGACATATGCTACTATGAAATGGGCGTCGGGAATCCGTGTAGAGAAGCCACGACCAGAGGTATTGATGTGGGTTTGGTTCATGGATTTACCACAAGTTCTAAGGGGAAGAAGTTATAGGGAAAGGGTTGCATGTTGCCATGACGCCTAATATAATGTCAACTCTGGAATGTAGGGGGTTGTCATCAATATCTGGAGCATAGTACCTTGTAACTATGACTGTTGAATTATTCTCCCATCTGATGGTGAATTTCAAAATTCACTGGTAAGGTAGAATCACCATGCTTCTTTAAAAACATTCGTTTGGTGTTTTGTCGTCTTAGTATCTTTTGATGTTGGTGCAGTCATGGTTTCAGTTTTAAAAAAGCTTGGCCGAATTCCCAGAGTTAGTAAAAGAGCAAGATAATAAGTAGAAGAAAGGTAGGAAGGGGCTAGGAAGACCACAAAAATCTAAAGCAAGTCAAGGATAATATTAGTGCTCTCATGGAATCGTGAAGGTTTAATACCCCTGTAAAACAAGAGGTAATTTTATAAGCAACTAGTAGATATAAGGTATACAATTTAGCTATCCTTCAAACAAGGGCTAGTAGAGAAAATATGAAGAAAATAATATTAAAAAAAGCATGACTGTAAGAATGGTTTTCTACACAATGCAACATGAATTTATTTTTTATATAATTTATTATGACAAAGAGCCACTAATTTCACCAATATCCATAATTTTTCGTAGTAATCAACGTTTCAAAGGTGTAAACTCATTGCCAAGCCAATTAATCAAACTAGACAAGTCATACATACACCATATGTCTTCTTACCTTCAAGGAGATGACTCTAGATACGTTGGATTTTCATCCTCTTTCTTAACATTGGGTGATGTTTGGTCAACATATGTTACCGTGGACGCTTTGTGTGGAACTTCTTGGTTTGTTGTCTAAGATAACCTATCTAGCTTATTGATGTCAAACACCATGGGTGTGCCTTGCACCAAGTCCCTAATCACACTCTCTTAATGATCTTGTTTTGTTGAGGTAACCTTGTTTGTCCTCTTCCTAATGCATGTTTGTTCTCTCTAAATTGTTTAGGTGATAGATGTCTAGGCTAAAAGACTCGTTTCCATTAATGTGGCTCCATTGACTCCATCTTCTACCATATAAACTTTTTGTATTTTACACTTAATGCCCAAGAAATCTTATCGTCTTATGTTATATGTTTGGTTTGTGTATAGTGATACTTCTCATGCATTCTTTTTTGTCCACCAATTTTGTTTTCTTATATCATTCGCACTCTTGCGCATAAACTTTCCCTTTTATCAATCCTTTTACACACTTATACACTTACACTCATTACACACTCTTGGACATGCCCTACTACATTCTTTGTGGTTGGTAACATGGCACTGCCCATCTATTGTCAAACTAGTGTGTCTATGAAAAAACTTAGTGGCTTCTACATGGTGCACATTTTTTACATGCCCCATGTCCATTTTCGTTGGAAACTATATGTTGGGTGTTCTTACACATACCCGTCAGTCCATCCTTAAGGCTTCAATGTACCCCTCTGGTTGTCATTAATATGAGTCCATAAGGACTTATGCATTGTCCATTTATTGGGGCATTTGTGGTGGGTATCCACATGATTGTAATTGTTCAACACTATTGGAATTTTTTTAAAATGGCGAGGGACCTTACGCATACATCCGAGGATATATATTGATGTGCAGTTCGTTTAATAGTCATATTAATGCAAATCAAATACAATCAAGTTATAAACTAGAAATGTCTAGGATCGTATTCCACAAGGTATTCTAATACATAATACTCACATCTAACTACTCATATATCGACACTCAAAACAGTAAAAGACAGATATGTTTAGGTGATTTTTTACTTTATATAGGCAAGGTAAAGTAAGCACAAAAGTAAAGATACATTATTGAGTAGGAAGATCACTCTATATAAACATGCATCTCAATTATCATTCGTATCATGCATCTCAATGATTCATCTATTATACCACTTTATTCCTTCTACTAAACCATTCATAATCGAGCTTTTGCCACATGCAAGAGGAACAATAGCTAGCTAATGCGTGCTTTTTCTTCATGCCATCAACTAACTAATAAATAACAGAGAAGTAAATATAGCACTTAGTTAAGTAAGAGCATCTTAAGCCATAACATAAGGTTTATAGCATTGGTAATCTAAAAATCTAGCATTGATCTTACCCATGCAATGAGATATCACAAGAAATAGTTTCCTAACATCCTATGTGATATTATAGAAAATCTATATAGTAGCATACAACAGAATCATAAACATTGAAATATAAACATCCATAGCATAGCATAAATATCGAAATACTCTAGCAACCATGAACAAGC